AGTAAGTTACTTCGCTCCATTTTTTCCGATAAGTGACATTCCACTACTATTTCACGTAGTTAGCACTATTTAGCATCAGTGTTTGTGGGCAGTGGCACTGCAACAGTTAGCATTAAATCGCCTCAGATAAGTAAGCGTCCGAGGTACTTTACCTATGGTTATAACTGATGTTTGAAACACTGTAAATGCGTCTGCTAAATGAATAAATCAGACTGATCTCATGAAATGGCGTATGTATGACACGCCAATTCGTATTTCCATTTTTGGCGTGCTATCAACACGCATAATCGCTTTTCAGCGTGTTTATCAACGCCTTGACTTAACGTTACATTACTGTATAGGCCTATATAAATATATGACCTACCCCAACCCCGTCCCTAAACCTACCCGTCACTGGGGTTAATACCATTTATGAGTCTTCCCCTACCATCCTAGGAAAAAAAATATCGCTCCCCAGATGTAGATCTACATTTTGCTTCGTTTCGCTAAGACATTTAATGGCGTTTCATACACGCGGAATCACTCGGACATTTACCGGCGTAGACATACACGCAAAAGATGACGGTTCGTTTCGGCGTGGACATACACGCGGATAGCTCAAAATGCGTATAGATAACACGCCACTTGACTTGAAAGTGGCGTGTATGTTTACGCAAAGTCATGATGCCATGTTGGAATAAATGTAACATAAGAATGGACTGATGTGTCCCACATTGGAGTGTTAATATATTTTGATGGGTTGTACTCTTCAGCAGCTTTGCAGTGAATGTAGTAGCCATAGACTGTAAAAAGTAGCCTAGTCTGCCAGTCGATCTTGTAACGTTACAGATAGCTGAGGCTGCTTGGCTGAAGAGGCGCGTCCACCGGCCGGCTCAGTCTCACACAAAGCCCGCCCTTTTACCCATATATGGATTAGCCAGAAGGTGGGCGGGGTTATGATTTCCCAAGATTTTCAAAAGATGGCACCGCCCATACCCTCAAAACTGTTATTCAGAAAGTTTATGGGTGACGTCACAGACGCTTTGTCCATTTTTATTTTACAGTCTATGATAACAAGAGGATTCTGTACGTTCCATAAAAAGGGAGGAAAATGGTCATGAAAAACTAAATTAGGACTGTTTTTGTTGCAAAACTTGAATACTATTATAAGTGGAATAAAAAAAAAACTATGATATGAGCCCTTTAAAATACACTCTACAGTTGTGTCTGTTGCTCTCACCATCTATTCCATCTAAATTGCAGGACTAATGGTGAACTAATGAGATCTGATGGGGTTTTCTTTTGGTTTGGAGGAAGGAAATCAATTCTTGGAATAAGCTGAATCAATCAGACTGCAGGAGGCAATGGGACGTGGGTTGGGGAAACCCGACTGCTAATAAGAAAGCAGTGAACAGAAGAAGAGCGAGACGAGGTGCTCCACTAAGACTTGCTATCATTCAATCAGACAGTGAGAGACACGATCGATGGAAAATAAAACCACATGGAAAAACTCCCACTGACATCACAGAGCAAAACAATGAGCACATAGAAGGAAGAAGATCAGAAAGACTGACCGAATGTCAAAGGACAGAGATTGAGACAGACAGAAATTGAGACAGACAGAGAGAGAGAGAGAGAGAGAGAGAGCGAGAGAGAGAGAGAGATATCCATGACCACCCCCCCATCACTGAAAGTGAATGTGTCCTGGCCTCATCATCCCGCTTCTGTCTGCACACGAGTCTAGCAGGAAAACATGATGGAGCATGAAAATAAAAGTGTTCCTGTAGCTGCAGAGCACTGGGGCTGCATAATAAATGGAATATTACATAAATCAAGATGCACGGTAATCGAGATGCAGAAAACACTAGGATCATTCATACAGGATGTGATTCTTACCTTCAGAAACAGGGGTCTCAAGCTTTATATTGCTTTTAATTGTTTGTCTATACAAGCACAGACAAAGGCAAAAATGCAAATGCAAAATAATGCCAAAATGCACATTATATATATATTCATATCCGTTATAAACTCCTTTTGGCCACCTACAAATTTTACATTCATTTATTTGTTTATTGCTCCTACTCCTAACTTAACTGCACTGCCTTTCCATTGTAAAATAAATACTTTATTAATTCAATTAATTCATCAATTCAAAATCAAAAATATAAATAAAAACTGAATAGAAACTGAACATGATCCCAGCTGTAAGCCATGTCACACTGTGGGATCTCTGTTGTCTTTAATGTCAAATATCGTTACGGATGCACGCAACCGACTCGTCCGGAGTTTTACATCATGTTCGGTGAGCTGCATTTACACGCGGGATTGAAACGGTGGCTAGCAAACAAATCAATCTCTAGTGCTAATTTTAATCTTGGCTTTTCTTGAAGGCGCTGTGTGAGGAGCAAGTTGGGGATTGTTGTTATCACACTAAGGGTTAGGGGTAGGTGTAGGGGTTGGCTTTAAAATAGAAGTAAGCCATATGTTGATTTAGTATTCTGTTTTGCGATTTTCCACAAATTTAACAATAACCTATTCCATGAATTAGCCTGTTCTTCTGGACATGGAATCTCTTGTTTCTTTTCCCAAACCCTCACTCGCGTCCCCCAGGAGGGGATTATAAATGTTACTTTCTTTTGTTCCATTTTAATCCCTGTATTCGCATCCTTTAGAATGGCAAAGGAGAAAAACACTATCTCGTTAGTTCCAATCTTTATCTCACCACAAATAAAATGTTTACACAGTTTGAGCTGGTTGGACATGGTTAGGGTTAGGGTTAGGCACGTTAAGTTTATTTGTATGACGCATTTCACAGGTGCAGGTAATTCGGTTTCGTTTTCTTCGGCAGCACAGCATCAAATAGCTATTCTTATCTTGTGTGGGAGATAAAATTCACTCTTCTGACCTTTTTCAATCAGTGTCAACCGTCAGTGGTTGGCCCTTTATCACCGCAGTGGTAATTCAAATCATAATAATAATTGCCACTGTCACCGTCGTTTTGTTGCACTTTTCCAAAACAAAAATTTCTGAAAGTATCAGTTTTAACACAATACCATTTCTAACTGTCAAAACATTTTCATGACAATTTGTTCCATTTTATGAAATATAGAATTTTATCATAAATTGTGTAATCAAACATCAGAGAAATAAGGCTACCAACCAACAGAATTAATGTTCCAGCATTGTATAATTTAATATGCTTTTGCTTTAATTAAAAATGTAAGTTTAAGGCTGATTTGTGTCGTAAATTTTTTGGGGGCCCCAAAGCGATGGACCCTTAACAAAGGGGGCCTTAAGCTGAAAAGTTTGAGAACCACTGCTTTAAAGACAGGGACAACTAATGTCCCAATAAGGCAGAATTAATTTATGATTTTAATATCATATACACTGAACATGTTGTTATTATTGCATATTGTTTTGCATGCAGTTTTATAATATACTACAAATCACTGCGGTGCAAATAGTTTCTGCCACTATTTGCACTAAATATAAATAGCATAACTATTTACACTGCTTTTAAAATACTGCTATTTTTACTTAGTGTAAATACACTCACCTTAAGGATTATTAGGAACACCATACTAATACTGTGTTTGACCCCCTTTCGCCTTCAGAACTGCCTTAATTCTACGTGGCATTGATTCAACAAGGTGCTGAAAGCATTCTTTAGAAATGTTGGGCCATATTGATAGGATAGCATCTTGCAGTTGATGGAGATCTGTGGGATGCACATCCAGGGCACGAAGCTCCCGTTCCACCACATCCCAAAGATGCTCTATTGGGTTGAGATCTGGTGACTGTGGGGGCCATTTTAGTACAGTGAACTCATTGTCATGTTCAAGAAACCAATTTGAAATGATTCGAGCTTTGTGACATGGTGCATTATCCTGCTGGAAGTAGCCATCAGAGGATGGGTACATGGTGGCCATAAAGGGATGGACATGGTCAGAAACAATGCTCAGGTAGGCCGTGGCATTTAAACGACGCCCAATTGGCACTAAGGGGCCTAAAGTGTGCCAAGAAAACATCCCCACACCATTACACCACCACCACCAGCCTGCACAGTGGTAACAAGGCATGATGGATCCATGTTCTCATTCTGTTTACGCCAAATTCTGACTCTACCATCTGAATGTCTCAACAGAAATCGAGACTCATCAGACCAGGCAACATTTTTCCAGTCTTCAACTGTCCAATTGTGGTGAGCTCTTGCAAATTGTAGCCTCTTTTTCCTATTTGTAGTGGAGATGAGTGGTACCCGGTGGGGTCTTCTGCTGTTGTAGCCCATCCGCCTCAAGGTTGTGCGTGTTGTGGCTTCACAAATGCTTTGCTGCATACCTCGGTTGTAACGAGTGGTTATTTCAGTCAAAGTTGCTCTTCTATCAGCTTGAATCAGTCGGCCCATTCTCCTCTGACCTCTAGCATCAACAAGGCATTTTCGCCCACAGGACTGCCGCATACTGGATGTTTTTCCCTTTTCACACCATTCTTTGTAAACCCTAGAAATGGTTGTGCGTGAAAATCCCAGTAACTGAGCAGATTGTGAAATACTCAGACCGGCCCGTCTGGCACCAACAACCATGCCACACTCAAAATTGCTTAAATCACCTTTCTTTCCCATTCTGACATTCAGTTTGGAGTTCAGGAGATTGTCTTGACCAGGACCACACCCCTAAATGCATTGAAGCAACTGCCATGTGATTGGTTAATTAGATAATTGCATTCATGAGAAATTGAACAGGTGTTCCTAATAATCCTTTAGGTGAGTGTAGATGCTGCTCTTTAAAAACACTGTTAAATACTAGATGTAGGCAAGGGTCCTGAGATATTTTTCAGCCTCATTCTCACCCAGCTTACAAACAAAGATAATACAAGGTCAAACATGGTTCTAATGTCAAACACATACACAAGACAGACCTGGAAATACTCACTCTCTTTCCAACTTCTTTCAAATTGTCATTGAAACATTCAGTATGTGCTGCTCAGAGTGCTATGGTGTTTCTGGGGTGTGCTAGACTCACGTGGGTTTCTCATTGGTGATGAGCACTTTGACCTTATTGAGGGCTTTTTTGGCACCGGTGGGTTGAGCCGCAGCAGGTTTGCTATGGGCCGGGCTGGAATGAGGACTGGCGATATAAACCTTCTTGCCTCCACTGCCCGGTGGTTTAGCGTGAGAGAAATCTGTGATGAACACTATACCCTCACTGGTCAGCACTATGACATAGACAGGAAGGAATAAATGGCAGACATTAGAGAAACAGTTGAGCGAATGGACAGTTACTTCATTAAACTATAAAAAAACCATACAGTATGCACTAAAAGCCAATTCAAACCAAGAATGATAACTATAAAGACAACTATAATGGCGTTCCCCCCAGCGGATGATATCGTTCAGTTTATTCTAATGAATCTGCCGCTTTAAATGCTTAAGCTTGTAAAAGCAGGATGGATTCTGATTGGCTCTCAATGTTTTTATCATTCATCAACTGGATAAAATGGTTTTGAAAGTTATTCCAACAATATCGTTTCTCTGTGCCGTTATTGTTATAGCCAAGGTGTGAAGTCTGCTATTCTTTAATATTGAGAACTATATTTAAACCTATATCTTTAGAGTTCGTCCCTGGTGTGAACAGGCCTTAATAATGACTTCTATTCGGGATGTACAATAGCATTTGGTACAGAACACAGCAACCAATATTTTAGCAATGTTGAAAGGTTCAGTAAAGTACAGTTAGACTAATGATTTTTAAATGTATTCCTATGTACAACATTGTATTGAGTGAAAAATAACAATGGGATTAATTAGAGAGACAGACAGATTTGTGAGTAAATTAAATTCACCCTCAAGTCATTATTTTTTTATGTTTGATTTTTTTTTTCATTACAACAAAGTGTCCAAGCTGTGTGAATCAGTTAACAAATCAAAGAGAAAGAACAAATTGAAAAGAAGAATTAGTATGCAATTCGGACATCACTAATAACGATCTACGCATCTGTGCATCCCAAATTACAATTATAAATGTGATTAAATACATACATGCCAGATTGGAGGGCTCAAAGGGGTCAAAGGAGAAAGACAGTATGTTCTCAGCATAGCTCTTCTTCCACAGCTTGGTGCCAGTGTCTCCGTTCCACAGAACAATATAGTTGGGAGGGTGGACAGCCAGAAGAAGATCGCGTGAGGCATCCTGAGCCCACAGCCAGTCCATATCTGATGCAAGGTTCACAAGTGAGGAGAGATTTGTATTCATTCATTCATTTGTTTTCTGGAAGTTTCAGAGATTTATTGGAGTGAATCTCACAAAGCTTTTCAAGGACATGTCAGGGTAAAAAAAAAAAAAAAAAAAAAAGGACAGACAGAAATGATATTACGCTTGAAAACTTCCACCAACTGACAAATTTGGTCCTAATTCTCATCACAGTAATGCACAAAAAAAAAAATCATTCTCTTTCCTGTATTGAAAAATGTATATTAGAAAAAATATATATACATAATTTTAACTGTTATGTATTTATACATTAGGGTAGTTTTTGCTGCACCACCTTTAACATATTACTTGTAAATGTAAAAATATAATTGTATTAGAGTAATTTTTGATATAGTTACTGTATTACAGTAATGAGCATTTCATAAAATTCACTACGATAATGTGAATCATGGCCATTAAATATAAAATTAATTATGGTAATAAGAATTTGGGTTGAACGTGCTTAATTCTTAATTAATTACAACGTCACAAAGCAAAGCATCTAAATGGATGGTTATAAGGATCAGAACAACGATGTCAATAAGTAAGGAAATAGAGAAAAGTAAGTATTTCCCTAAAAGAGCTGTCTTGTGTGTGTAGCTACTTTCTTCCACCAAAGATACATAACTGCTGTTGATAGTTAACACGATGCATATATAAATTTGATAGATACATTTATTTAAAAATCCATTGATCATTCATGATATAAATTCACTACTTTTGACTGGAAGTCTATATAAATATCAACCAATCAAATAAAATCATACATAATATGATTAATATACACTATATGGACAAAAGTATTGGCAAACCTGACCATTACACCAACATTGATAGCATTCTAAATAAATAGACATTAATATTGAAGAATATCTACTCTGCTCTTCATTGATTATTGACTTCATTCTGATATCCAATTTTATCTAACAATTTGGGGTGCTCGTCCAGGATCGATCGAAATTGGACAGAGATAGTGTGAGGACAAAAAACTTCGGTAAGTCTCCTTTTTCTATTTGAGATTGGACACTTACCTGATGTTATCCTCTGATATTGTATTGCCTAGACTCACCGAAGTCTCACTCGACGCAATACTCGAAATGGAGAATATTGTTAAATTTGCAATATTTACTTAAAATATTAGCAAGGTATTGGGTGTTCATTTTTGAGACACAGGATGTCCATTATTGAGACAGGTAAAGAGGTTTTTAATAACCTGCCGTTTATGGACCGGTGAGGAAGGATGGTCGACCATTTAATAATTCATCTAATCCGTACTAATTGACATCTTAAGACAGAGTGGAACAACTTTGTTTTGTTTTTATGTGTGTGAATAAGGAAACTGCTTGGTTGTAATATGGGGCAAGATGTTTCTAGATCACGGACAGGCGAGACGCCTGTTGACTTTATGTACAGAAACAATAAAACTTCTGGACAGAACCTTTTATATCAAATTTGGCAGGATGGTCAGAAGGCAAAATTCAATTAGACCCATATCCTAGAGAGGGATCATTCAAAGATAATGATATAAAAAGCATGAAATCCATGCTTATGGGCGGATGGGGGGATTTAGAGTGGGACTATATATATATGAAAGAGTCACCATCTGCTTTTGTCATGAGGTTTAGAGAAACATGGGAGCAGGATTCAAGGCTGCCTGTAGATAACTCTATGAAAGCCCTATTTATAAACATGCCTGAATAATATGAACCAGCAACAGGCTCAATTGATTAGAATCACAACAAATAATCTGTTAGAAAAAACTGTTGATAAGAGATACAATGTATAAATTAGGAATGGAAATTATCTTTGATAACAATACAGTTTGTTTATCTTTTCTCTCGAGTCTGCAGGTTTCTGTTGAGCCACTGCCAAACGCAGAGGATGCTATTGAATTGGTTGAAGAACAACAGGTAACAAGTGACCCACCGCAGCCTGACCACACAGATACAACAGATAATGTTTCAGTTAAAATTATCAATCCAAATCTTTGGTCAAAATTTAAAGATGATACTGGTTTTGTAGACATTGATCCATATCGAGCTAAATTGAAAACCACATCGCCAGTGTATGTCAAGCAATATTCATTGTCGTATGACAAAGAGATTGGTATACAACCAATCATTGATAATTTTCTGGCACAAGGGGTCCTCATACCAATTCATCCGCAATACAATACGCCTATTAACCCAGTTCCCAAAGCAGATGGCAAGAGTTGGCGTTTAACACAAGATTTGCGCGCAATAAATCAATTGATTATACCACTAGCGCCGGTTGTTCCTGATGTACCGACCATTATGAATTCTATTCCATGCACACATGAATTTTTCACGGTTGTAGATTTATGCGCTGCCTTTTTCTCCATTCCTGTACATTGCGATACGCAGCCACTTTTTGCGTTTACCTTTAAGGGGCAGCAGTATTCATGGACACGCCTTGCACAGGGCTATATAGACTCCCCTGCTGTTTTCTCAGCTGCAGTGCAAAAAACACTGGCAACAATCACAGACCTACCATGTACTTTCTGTGTCTTGCAATATGCCGACGACATACTGATCTCTGCAAAAATACAGGAAGACTGAGCAAGCCTCCATCATCACATGCAATGTGCTAGCCCAGGCTGGATTCAAAGCCTCGCGAGAGAAGCTGCAATGGGTCAAGAGAAAAGTGAACTATTTGGGTCACACAGTGACCAAAGGACTGAAGTACATAGCCAGTGACAGGGTCCAAATGATCAGGAAACTTAAACCTGCCAGAAACTGTGAAACAATTGCAGAGTTTCCTGAGACTTGTGAATTTCTGTCGCTCATGGATCCCTGACTGTCCTGTACATGACAAGCAGTTGAGACTACTCATTGATCACAAAGCCCCCCCAAACACAACCCTCCAGTGGACTGAGGAAGACATGAACCATTTCCAAGCTCTGAAAACATCCATCATGACTGCACCTGCACTGAGCTTGCCTGATTACACAAAGACGTTTCTTTGCTAGACTTCCATGCTAGAGAGGCTTCAGGGGTGGCTATGGGGGTTCTGTTGCAACAGCATGGGTCAAATTACAGGCCAATTGCCTATCTATCAAAAAGACTAGATAATGTTGCCCAGGGCATGTCAGCATGCTTAAGGGCAGTGGCGGCTCTCATTGTACAGATGGCAGAGAGAATAGTGCTTTCACACCCACTAATTTTGTATACGTCACACCAAGTTGATGCTATCCTGCATAACTTAAAAACTCAACACATGGCCGTACACAGACACTCAGGGTATGAGGCAACCTTGTGAGCAACCTCAAATTTGATAATTAAACCTACCTCAGTTGCAAACCCAGCTCTTTTAGGTTTACATGGTATGGCGGACTTGCTTGACATCCCTGATAGTGATGATGACACACACGATTATTTAATTAACATACAGCAATCCTGCTCACCCTGGGATGATCTATTAGATAGCCTCTGGATGGGGGAGAGGGTAATGTATGTTGATGGCTCATGTTTAAAACTATCTGATGGTGTATATCTTTCTGGGTATGCTGTGGTTTGCCCTAACGGGAATATTATTGAAGCATATGCACTGAATTATAATTCTTCTATAAATCTTGTGTTCCCTGTATGCCTGTTTGTGAACAGTCAGTCCAGAGGCCTTGAACCGCCGCTCAAGGACACGCCCAGCCGCCTTCATCTTTCGCAGCTCACAGGTGTTCCAGGGTGCTGAGCGCGTGAATGAGATTGACCTGGATATTAAGGGGGCGTGGAGGACCAGAAGACTGCTCAGGAACTGGTTGTAGAAATCTACGGAGTCAGCAACAGAAAGGAAGTCAGTAAAGTTGGAGGAGATATGTTGAAGGTCCTGGGCCAGGGCATCCGCATGGATGTTTTTCAGCTTTCTGTATTGGATCTGTCGCTTTGGTTTGGTGTGGGGGGAAGGAAATGGCAACTCCATTGACACGACCTTGTGATCTGAAACACCAAGTTCATAAACCTGTAGGTTGCTGATGGGGCCGGAGCTAGAGATGACCAAATCGAGTGTGTGTCCCCTGGAATGTGTGGGGACATCAATATGTTGTTGTAAGTTGAGGGAGTCTAGCAGCTGAAGGAAATCAGCAGCAGGATGACATGATGGGGTGTCGACATGAATATTTATATCTCCCAGGATTATGGTATTAGCAGAGGTAATACAGAGTGTTGTGAGGAGATCAGACATTTCCAGGATGAAAGCAGAGTTGGGTTTAGGGGACCGGTAGATAAGGAGAACAGTCATTGCAAAAGGGGGGCTTACATTTAAATGCAAGACACTCGCAGGAAGATGTTGCAGGCAGCACGATGGAGGACAGCTCCAGGTCCTGTCGGTGAATGACTGCTAGGCCACCACCGTGGCCAGTGCTGCGAGCTGCCTCCAAAAAACTGTAGCTGGGGGGGCAGGCTTCATTTAGGGCAGAATAAACCTCTGGCTGATGCCAGGTTTCCGTCAGACACATGAAGTCAAGTCCTTTCTTCCTGATGTGTTCTTCAATCAGTGTGGATTTATTATTTATGGATTGCGTGTTGAAAAGTTCGAATTCGACCAATGACTGTGGGGTGAATCACTGTACAGATCACAAAACATTAAAATCCACTCCGCGCAATTATCCACTCCACAAAATGTACCCAGCCGAAAGTGCGGGGATCCCATGCTGGAGTGCAGAGGTCTTGTGACATTTCCCGTGTTGATGGTAGCTGGAGCGACGGTTCTCTGATGACACATCAGACATGCGACGGATGACTAGAGAGATGGGATGTTTGTAGCAGAGCAGCTTGGCTGGTTATTGAAGATGAATTTTCGACTGGAGCCTCTATGAATGTAACGAGAGCGGCGAAGAAGTCCAAGTTCTTTAATAATGGGGATGTGAAATCCAGGTGTGGTTCCAAAATTAAGTCGTCGGAGTTGCGAGCTGGAATAGCTGAAAGCCATACTGAGCTGGAAATTGTCTATAGCAGATAGGTGCCTAACTACCTAGCTTCCCCATCGGTATAAAAGGTGGGTGAAACGTGGGATATGGAGTCCAGAAAAGCTAGTGCACAAGGCTGGTTAAAATAGCACAAGCACAAAATATATGCAATCAAAATAAATAAGCGCAATTAAAGATCGCAGGCGGAGAAGCGTTGAACAAACAACGCCAGCTGATGGCAAGCCAATAGCGCATTCAGGGCTGATAGGAGAATGAATTGAAGCAGTGCAATTGCTCACGAAAGTGGCCATAGTAAAGGCAAGAGGTCATATGCCGGGAGATGAAACAGCTGTAGGGAATAGACATTTCAACATTTGAAAAGTGATTTTACACACATGCCACCAATTGTAAATTGTAAATATATGCTGACCATTGTTGATAGATTCTCAAAGTGACCAGAAATGTTCCCGTGTGCTTAAGAGAATGCAAGGACAGTAGTCAAATAAATCATCCCAAGATATGGTATACCAAAGGTGATTGAAAGTGATATAAAAAGAACCATTAGAGATAAATTAACAAAGGCTTCTCTGAAAGAAATTAATATATCTATTACCAGTATTATTAGCTGAAATCAGAATGACTCCATCTGCAACAACCAAGCTGTCACCTTTTGAAATATTAATGGGTAGACCTTTCCCAACCCCACAGGTAAATGGCCACACTTACGTTTCTTCCCTATGTGATATGGAAGTCGTGGTGGATTACCTGGATTACGTCACAGCTCTAGTAGAAAAAAATTTATTTAATTAAATGCTAATGTTTCTTTGTCTTTTCCTATACCAGCAGAAAGCCCAACTCATGATTATGTTCCTGGAGAGCAGGTACTCATTAGAAGCCTGACACCAACGAAGGTGGGAGAACCGAAGTACCTGGGTCCAGCTGCTGTGATAGCAGTCACAATGACAGGAGTGCTGACAGACCATCAACCCCAGTGGATACATGCCTCAAGACTGAAACATCTGAAAGGGTAGTACCCTAAATAATTGGACGACAGGCCCAAGAAGCCTGCCTCAAATGTTGTCAAGGTGAGAAATCCAGAGACTGAGCTGTGCAGAAGAACTGTACCTTATAGTGGTGCAGGGGTCACTGCAGGCAGAAGACAGATAACCAATATTAGCTACTCTGGATAATCAAAGGTTCCCTTGATACCATTAAGGTCTAAATTTCAAACTGGCAGAGTGGCAAACTAAAGACTTCCATCATCCATTGATGAACAAGTATTAGGCCTTAAAGAACTAAACCATTTGAAGATGAGACCAATAATAATTATACTAGTGTATGCCACTCTTGACTTTGGGGATATGGCTGAATCATCCAGATCTCCCACATGGGTATGCTGCAAACATGTGGTGGAGACTGGCAAATTTTACTGCTAGAAAATAAGGAAAACCAGGACCATGTTATGTATGCACATTAATGCCCCACAGCTCCACATCATACAAAATATAAGTAGAAAAGGTAAACGTTCATGAAGAAGATTACGTATTAGCCAAAGTGTCATTCCAGAAATTAAAGAAGAGAGACCAGAGTGATGTAGTAGTGTTAAACCCATAGATAGAAATTATGTGTTAACCGAACATAGACTATGGACAGAAATACAGAGGTTCTTCGAGGCCCTGATATCCCCTGTAGGTGTAACAGATGTAATGGAAGAAGTAGAAGTAATAAGGTATGAACTACTGAATTTCATTAATTCAACCAGTCAAACCTTTGCAGGAATCAAGGAAGAACTTTGTGGACTTAGATTGAATGCTTTGCAGAATAGACTAGTGTTAGACTAACTAACTGGGAAATTCAGGGAGGAGTCTGCAAAATAGTTGGAACAACCTGTTGTACATACTGGACAATGACATGGATGGATATCTCATTGATGAGGGAATAAATAATTTCACTGAAATGATGAAGAGATTAGAAAGTAGGGAAGTAAGTGGTGAAGATGGGTGGGAATGGATGACAGGAATGTTTACGAAAGTAGAACATCACGTGATCATGATATTATTGATTCATTCTGTACAGACTGCATGGCTAAAGGTGCTCGATTTTAGACACAGTGGCAATGAATTAAACACCTGAATTCAATAATTAAGAGGGGTGTCCCAATACTTTTGTCCAAAAGTGTATATTAAATATTTAATATATCATCTGTTTTCCCCCATTTCTTGGTTAACCAGCACAGAGATGGTTTATTTTAAGATGAGCTTGGTAAAAAAGGGTTCTTACCCTGAATAGGTTTGGTGTGTTCCTGGATCTCACAGTGTGCCACACCACTCACCACATCCCACACAATGATCTTCCCTGCCGCATCTGCAGATGCCAGCCGCAGAGAGTAGGGTGAGCTGAGACTGTGGTGGTAGTTTTCTCTGGACCATTTTACCTAACGCAGTAGAAACAGGACACAACAGCAAAACTGAGTTTTTCCACTTGTACATTCTGGTTGCTAACTGGTTGTATACATGTTGCTAAGCATTTGGTCCAGTCAAAAGAGGTTAAAGCCACCTTTCTACTATCTCCGTCATGCGACAGACCAGAAGTCATTCAGTTTCAATGTACCCCCCCCCCCCCCCCCCCCACCCCCACCATAACCAAAACTAGCAAGTAAAACCCCCTAATTGTATACCATGGTTAATGGAAACATTACTGAACTAACCAAACTGAACTAGGACCAATTATCTGCGCAGCATGACTGAAGCCAATATGACTGATACACAAATCACTGTATACACTCCAAAAGTGTGATTATATTTCCGCGTGCTGTTTCTATTGCGACGTCGATAAGAACATGTGCGACTCATCTGAATTCTGTTGAAAATTGACTACTTTTAAATGGTACATCGAAAGTCAAATATGACCTAAAACAGCCACATAAACTATAAAGACTGACGAGAAGAGGAGAAAACATCATACTGCACCAACATAAATTAGAAAGCTTTTTAAACTACTCATGACCTCTCTTAGTTATCACGTTTTATTCTAGTAACAGCTATCATGGTAAATGTTGACCAACTTGTAGAATTTCTAAAAGATCTGTTAAGGGAATAGATTTTTCCATATACTTATGTTACAGATGTGTCATGTTGTAGCTATTGTTTCTAAATATGTAGGCGGCTATTTTTTATAACAAATGCTAGTTTCTAGTCTTTACAGCCTCCAAGCCAAACAGTTGATATACCCCAGTGACTTCCACGGTAATTTGTTTTCCCATACTATGGAAGTCAATGGGACCCATCAACTATTTGGTTATCCATATTCTTCAAAATATCTTATTTTGTGTTCATCAGAAGAAAGAAATTCATACCGGTTTGGAACAACTTGAGGGTGAGTGAATGATGACAATATTTTCATTTTTGGGTGAACTATCCCTTTAAATGTTAACCAAACGACAAAAGGAAATCGACAGAAAATCACTCACTGCTCTTGACTGGATAACTTTTGTAAGTTTAATTAAGGATTTATGTATGTTTAATTTATACAGAGAAGACTATGCAGTGTTATTTTACATTTGATTACTTTATTACATTTCTGAAAATATAGCTGAAAATTACTGTCAGACCTACTTGAAAAACCTACCTGAAAAGCACTGTTTATTTCATTTGTATCTTTGCGCTATTGCATGTAATTGAATTATTTGTTGTTATTTTATTTTTGACTGTTTACTTGTCATTAATAATGTTTTAAATTTATATTAGTTAATTACGAATTACTAGTAGTTTTAGCTGTGGTATCGAAATTGGAATAGATAATTGAGTATTTTCACTGGTATCTAAAATTTTGGTGTCATAACTGCCTGTTTTTGCCTAAAACGATTCATGGCTGGTAATTTTCTTAAATAACCAGCCATTGGCAGGTGTAGCAAAAAGTTAGGTTTGGGCCCTGTATACACTTATTTAATTGAATCACACTATAGCACTATGTTATATTATGATTTTTAAATGGTTTAAATGTATCGTGCAGCCTTATAAAAATGTTTAATAATGTGGTTCATGGATTCTCATCCTTGGGATGCGGCACTTCCAGTATTTTCCCAGGTAAATTGAAATTGATGAGTTTTTTTTTTTTTATTTTAATCGAGAAGGAATTATGACAGCCCTAAACACGACAAAGAAATCCCTAGGGACTGGATGAACAACCAATAAAACGCAAGTGCTAAAGGCCAATACATCAGAGTAAATGTAGTACATCAATGTTGCTTCACATATTAAACATTATGCTTTTTATATTATTATTTATATCATATTATTATGCTTTTTTTTAAATGCCAGAGTGGGCACAGACGTGTAACTTGAATGTCATTTCCAGTTATTTTTAGCTTTACAAAACGGCTCGATATTGCAAACTGTTATTTCTTATTATCTTAATGTATTAGTAATCATAAACACACAGATTTGTAGCACAAATACTTTTACCGTTTACTGCACTTTGTTATTCATCTAGATATTTTCCTAAAGCGCCTAATGAATCAGAAGTTTTGCACATTCATAGAAAATATTTTACTTCCATGTTGCAAAATAAAGTGGATAGGTCTGCATTTGTGCAGCTTTGGTGGTGGTCACATGGTATAAACTATGAAAGCACACAGCGGGGATGGAAAACAAAGTCAGAGAGCAGGGCTCCCTACTGCTGGCAAATGCAGGCTTCTTTGAAGGCTATAACTCATGAGTCAAGCAGCCCGCAGTCACACAGACCAGCTTAAATAAACTACAGCTACTCAGTCAGCACTGCAACACAACACTGTAAAACACGCAGTAAAGTTACCACCCTCTGCTGTCAGCAATGACCAGGAATATTTCAGGATGTGCAATACTGATAACAATCAAATGATCATTGAGCTATGTTTTTTTAATTCTGTTTATGATGAATTATGACTAAATTAATTTGTTAAATGCTTTTTTGCACAATCGAGTCAGCTGTGCCATGCGATCCCGAAATTCAGTTCTCTTTCAAGACATATTACACTTGAATGGTCAAAAACAAACACAATTACGTCAAAATGGCCATCGTGTGGAGCATTCACGAAAACACAGTGGGTTATGTCTTGAAAGTCGCCATGAAACAGAAGTTGCAATATTCTTTTCTTCCTTATTGTGACTATTTCTTCCCTACATATCCGAGTGAAATGGCTTCTCAAACCAGAAAAATGTAGGGCGGGAAATGATTTTGGATGGTTGTGGTTTGCTATTGGTGGATCTCATGTGAGAGACAGGTTGAGTTGAGTGTTGCTGCAAGAGGGAGGGGAAGTTATTTTGATTCAAGATTACGAGTCACATGAATTTAAAAAATAATGATGTGCACGGATAAATCATTTATAATAAATACTGCAATTTTCCACAATAATAAGAATTTGTCAATTTTGACATGAGGCTATATATGAGGCTCCGCCTTCTTTGTCGTGGAAATCTCCGGCTCATTTCTGGTGTTCAGTCCGTCGAGGTCAGGCGCGAGTAAAAACATGAACACACTGGAGAGCTGCTTTATAGCAGAAATTTGAGTTGTAATTCTAATAGAAAGCGATACTGAGACTGCTATTTCGTGATTAATACTGTGAAACTGCTTGCTTTCATGAAATCCATTTTTATAAATGTAATGTGACTGGAGTGCTGAATTGCAGAGCTCGTGCAAACATATCCACATTGCTATGATCAGATGCTTTATGGCAGGGCAGATTAGTTTTTTTCCCAGGTTCATTTTTTGGTTTATTGCTGGGTGGCAAATATTAGCAAATATCATCACAGTTGGTATAATTCTCCTCATATCGATCGGTGAAGGGTAGAAGCACAATCCTATCTATCCGTCCCTCAAATCACTCTACAAATTCAGTTGACTGCTCTTCTCTTAGGATTTGGAGGCAATTTAAATAAATCGCTGCTTCTTCTCTCTATGGTCTTGTTTGGAATAGCAATCTGTTTGTGCCCTCACAGCTTTTGTTTTATGGAAAAAGGACTTTTATGTTTTTCTGATTTATTGATTGGTGGAGTTTTTGCATCTTTTTCTGACCTTGAAAAAAATTGTTGAATATACCAAGATCTAATTTACCAAGTGCATAATTTAGTTCATTCTCTATGTCCTTCCTTTCCATATTTGTCTGAATCTTCTCTATATGACAACTGCCTATTACATAAACATGGCTCTGTATTTTATAGATCTTAATTCTTCCTTCTGTTTTGCTATCTACCTCTCAGTTTAAACATCGATGGGAGATAGAACTTGGACGTAGCTTTGAATTAATTCTTCGTCATCCTGTGCCAGAATAAGTCTGAATTAATTTAAGGTTTTCCATACAACTCATTTTACAAATGTCAAACTAAGAAAGTTATTTCCAGGTACAGATGTCACTTGCAATATGGGTTCTCTGGCTCCTGTCAATCACACTCACATGTTTTTGTTTTTTTTGTCAATAGATTGAGGATTTTTGGTCTTCTTTTTTCTTTATACCTTTTCTAACATTCTTAATATTTTAGTCCATGTGACATCAGTGGGTTAGTTAGAGTGTTTTGAAGCATCGAAAATACATTTTGGTCCAAAAAAAACAAAAACTAGGACTTTATTCAGCATTGTATTGTCTTCCGGTTCTGTTGTGGATCCACGTTCAGTGCCGCTGCTGACGTAAGACGCTGCTGACGTGTCTCTGGTGCGTCCTTAGACAGTCAAAGGTCTAGACAGCCTTTTGCAGTGATTCTTGTTACCAACTGGTTAACAACTTCTCTGATGGTGAATTCTCGGGATTTCAACAAATTAACCAAGAAAAGCACACATCTACTATTCAGCCTTCTGTTTGGGTCAACTGAACAATGTGTGACTGTGTGACAAACGGAAGAACAAATGTTTAAAACCCACCTTGACCACATTGGCTTTGTGTCTCTCCAGGACCTGAATGGTCTGGGCTGTATTTGGGTCAATGATGAGGATACTGGAGTGACAGCCTTGAGCGATCAGACCCTGCCATCCCCTGAGCAAAGAGAGAAGGAAGATGAAAACAGTACCAGGGTGAATCTAACAATGTGGAAAATGAATGCATAAATACATTTACAAAACAATTGATATAATAAAAGCCTATTTCATGCTTTTTTCACATTACAGATATGAATGGGAAATTAGAAATCACTTACAATGCAAAAAAATGTAAAGGTCCTATAAATCATCCTCATTTTCTTTTAACAAAATTTCCTACAGTAGGTTGAAATATGACCCAGACACGTTATTGACATGTTTCATGAGATTAAACCAATTTAAGATTATTTTAAGGTTACATAATAATAAAACAGACCGTTTATGATCAAATGACAATTAAACTGTTTATCTAACCAAGCCATCAACAAATATATATATATATATATATATATATTAGGGCTGTCAAACGATTAATCACGATTAATCGCATCCAAAATAAAAGTTTGTGTTTACATAATATATGTGTGTGTACTGTGTATAATTATTTTGTATATAAATGCACACATGTATATTTAAGAAAAATGTTATTTATATATAAAATCTTTATATTTATATAAAATATACATTATATATAGGCTACATTCAGTCTATATACAGTATATACATGCAAATATTTCTTAAATACACATGCATGTATTTATGTATTAAAAATAATTATACACAGTACACACACATATATTATGTAAACACCAACTTTTATTTTGGATGCGATTAATCGCGATTAATCGTTTGACCCTAATATATATATATATATATATATATTTTTTAATGCATGAATCAATGATAGGGCTGCACGATATATCAGTCTAACATGGATATCGCGATGTCAAGTATAGTGATCGTAATTGATCCGTGATCCGTTCGGACCAGGCACCACGGTTCGAAACGCACTCGATTCACAGATTAATTGTGAAGTTTAACCATCATAGAGTGAAAGTTTGTCATTTGCACGTGTTTTAGGTCCTGTCAGTTGAAACAGTTTAAGTGCAACAGAGCCGCGCAGACAGCACACGAACACCTAATTCTGTTCTCTTTCGTGTGTATGTGTGCTTTAATGGACACACATACGAGCAAAATTATGTCAAAGTGCCCGTCTCGACGAGTATCCTCTAAACAGTCGCTTATGGCTTACGTGAACAAACAACTGAGAAAGAAAATGAATGCGTATCATTATATTGGATCTGTGATTTAGCTCTTAAAGTGACAGCAGCCTAAAATTCCTGCTGCTGTCTGTGACATTAATTTTTTTTTTAAACTAAATACAAAGAGAAAATCACTTTTGTAGCTTTAACAAAGATGAAATATATTCAATTTATACAGTGAAGACTAAGCAATGTTCATTTAATTTGTATCTTTGTTCTATTGTATTTATCTATGATTTTATTTTGTTTATTATTTTCAATGCACTCCCCTACAAAATCCCCCAATAATCCTAGAATTATTAATTAAACCTATTCAAGGCATCTAGTGAAACGGTTTTCATATTGCAATATACAGTATATCGCAGTAAAAATGAATCCGGTTTTTCCAATATTGTGTGGTCCTTATCAACAATATTCAATAAGTCAGACTCTCAAATTCACCTAGTCTATCCCCGCAGCACAGACATCATAAAGGAAAGTATCTTTTTGCCAGGACTCAAAGCCTGTTGAAGTACACAAGACAAACAAAATAATAACCTAAAGCCAGATCTGATTAAATAAGGTTTTCAAGGTAGCAATGTTTTTCCAGTCACACTGAACTAAACTGACAGGACATCCAGCACACCATTAACAAACACAAAATAATGGACAATGAAAGACGCAGTATTGTAGGATACAGTTATGGGTAACACTTTACTTGAAGGGGTGTGCATAAGACTGACATGACACCTTCATAATCATGACATGACAACTGTCATTACGTGTCATTCGCTCAATTATGACATTTTTAATGCAAATATGACATTGTTTGAGATGTCATAAAAAATACATCATAACCTGTCAGTGTCTTTGTCATGACAACTTCACATTACTAAGACAACACAACCTGTCATAAATATGTCATAAACATGACATAGCAGATTACTTATCAAACTTAAGATTAGCTTTATGGGTTAACATTACATTAAACTGTCATGTGGTTGGTTTTGACATTGACTGTCATGAGGCATTATAACTGTGCATGAATATTTTCGTGACCTCAACTACAGTGGTACAAATTTAATTTGTCATTAAAATGTTATAATGGCCTTATGACAGCCAATGTCAAAACCAACCACTGACAGTTTAATGTAATCTTAACCCATAAAGCTAATCTTAAGTTTGATAAGTAATCTGCTATGTCATGTTTATGACAGGTTGTGTTGTCTTAGTAATGTCAAGTTGTCATGACAAAGATACTGACAGGTTATGATGTATTGGTTTTAGGGCTGTCAAATGATTAATCGTGATTACTAGTAATCAAATCCAAAATAAAAGTTCTTTTTACATAATATGTGGGTGCACTGTGTATAATTATTTTGTATATATATAAATACACACACACATGCATGTATATTTAAGAAAAAAAATATTATTTATATATAAAATATTTATATTTATATATAATATAAATTATATATAAATCTATATACAGTATATACATGAAAATATTTCTTAAATATATACAAGCATGTGTGTATTTATATATATAAAATAATTATACACAGTGCACCCACATATATTATGTAAAAAAAACTTTTATTTTGGATGTGATTAATCACGATTAATCATTTGACAGCCCTTGGTTTATGTCAAGGTGTCATAACAAAGACATCTCAAACAATGTCATATTTGCAATCAAAAATATCATAATTGAGTGAATGACACTTAATGACAGCTGTCATAAACATGCATAAAACCTTCTTCATATTCATGACGTGTCATGTCATGAATGAAGGTGTCATGTCAGTCTTATGCACACCCCTTCAAGTAAAGTGTGGGGGGGGATTTTGAGCAAGTAACATAACTTAATATTTAGAACATTCTTAGGTACCCCCCCTCCCCAAAAAAAAAATGAAAACAGAACATCTGCATTATGATTGACAAAGTGGCCAACAAATTTAGGAACTGAGACAATGGGGGACAAACATTTATTACAGGAACTTCCCTGCTGTAGTAACCGGAGGCTGAAACACTGGTGACAACTCAAACCTCATCAGCAATGCCAAACAAACTCAGAAAACATGTTTATATGTATTATCCCATCAGAACCATACAAGCATATTTACAGTCTAAACTGAAGCACTGCAAACAATAAATAAGAGATGTGTGAGTGTGCTGCTGCAATCTGCACTGATTTCACTGTAACAACATTCTACTTCATCACAAGCACTTATCACAACTTTATTTAAATATTATATTAAAAATGTAATGCAAAGATCTGGAGCTATCAGTTAAAAAAACTGAAACAGGACAATTGGGAAAGCAAAGCAGTAAATCTTTGTCCATTTTTTCATCATTTAGCAACAAAGCGTATGGTTTTTAATGACAACCAGACATGAGTGTTATGTGTAATGTATGTTCAGTATAAATTTATTCAGAATATACACAGTACCGGTCAAAAGTTTGGACACATTAAGTTTTTTAATGTTTATGAAAGTAGTCTCTTAATCTCACTAAGGCTGCATTTATTTGATCAAAAATACAGTTAAAACAGTAATACTGGGAAATATTGTTACAATTCAAAACTGGTTTCTGTAATATATTTTAAAGTGCAATTTACTCCTGTAATCAAAGCTGAATTTTCAGCATCTTTACTCCAGTCTTCAGTGTCACATGATCCTTCAGAAATCATTCTAAGATTATTTCTTATTATTATCAATGGTGAAACAGTTTTAGCTGTTATTTTAGTTATTGTAAAATGTATAAATAAGATCTAAAATAAAGATGTAAAAATATATACTTTTATATAGCAAAGGCACATTAATCACACATTGTTTAAAAAAGACAGTAAAGACATTTATGAAATTAATAAATATTACAAAAAAGTTCCATTTATAATAAATTCTTTTGAACTTTCTATTAAAAAGTCCTAAAAAGCATTCACAGGGGGGAAAAAGTTTCCCAAAAATATTAGGAAGCACAACTGTGTTAAACATTGATAATAATAAGAAATGTTTCTTTAGAACCCAATCATATTAGAATGATTTCTGAAGGATAACGTGACACTGAAGACTGGAGTAATGATGCTGAAAATTCAGCTTTGATCACTGGAATACATTGTAAATATATTACAACAGAAGACAGTTAATTTAAATTGTAATAATATGTCACAACATTGCTGTTTTTAAGTAAATGCAGCCTTGGTGAGATTAAGAGACTACTTTCAAAATATATATATCCTACGAAACACATGTCTACAAAAGCAATGTGTTGTTGTTGTTGATGATGATGATGATGCTTTTGAAAACGTCAAACTCTGTTGGTTAGCTCATGATTGTGTGTGTTGACAGTCTGCATGCAGAAGCTAAAGCTACTCACCAGTCCACTGCTGTCTTGTTCTGTAAATTAACGGTTCCCGTAAGTGTTCTTGCGGCCAGTTTAATATTGACAGTGTACGGAATCATGGTTGAAGCCATATGTCAAAACTACATGAAAAGTGAAATGTTTTGGTTCGTTTTAAATGTAATGAATGATCGAGCTGTGTTATTAGGAAGTGTTTGCGGTGCGTCCCATTACTGTTCCGTTCAGAAAACGCCCCACAAATCTGTAGTTCCGCCCTGATAGTGTCTTAAGATATTAGTTTAAAAACACTCATTTTTTTGTTATCATACTAGAATCACAATTTAATATATTTTGGCATTTTGTGTAATGTCACTTTAACTAACCAGATCAAGTAGGCCAGCATCATGAATCATTAGCCTTATATAGCTTATTTGTCTTCCTTTCTATCTATTCACTTGACTTGAGTTATTTACTTCCTTATTCAGCTAGTTTTTTTATTATCAGTCATTGTGGCATTTTCTTATCAGCTAGCAGGCCTATATTTTTTTTTAATTTAATTGGCATTGAATGTGTGATTGATACAATGTCAAGTTACCTTTATTTCTATAGCACTTTACAATAGGCTACAGATTGTTTCAAAGCAGCTTCAAGGTAAACAGGAAAATAGATCAATGATGCACGCTTCACCAAATACGAGACAAATTCTGTTGTAAAGCAGCGCTAGAGAAGACAATAGTTTTGTTATTCAGCTCAAGTCAGTTCAATGTTGATTCGATTCATTTGAGAGCTCTATAAAGCTACAGAAGACAATAGTGTCTGTATCCAGCTCAATTGAGTTCAAATTTTGTTCTCATCTGATTGTGTCAGTGCAGTCAAATAGATAATATTAAGAAATATTTAGACTAAGCAAGCCAAATGCGACAGTGGCAAGGACAGAAACAGAGAAAAAACATTGGGAGAAACCACTCAGTCGTGCTCCTCTTGCCAAATGAATGAACACAGAATATGATTTATGATTCCAGGCTGCATCATGTCAGATTTGTGGACTGATATTATTCAATAACAGTAATTATCAAAATGATTATATATGCTCTCACCGTGCCTCATAAAAAAATGTTTTACTGTTAGTCACAAGCAGATCATTAACTACTTATGCTTCAGTTATCATTTAATTGAATGAGTATTATAACATGTGTCATACCTTAAAACTTTCTCTTAATACACATTAACAAGAACGTATCTAAACGTTTCTTTTACATTATTTTTTTTTCAATACTTTGGAATGCATGTTAATTTGCATTTGGTCAAGTTGATTTATAGTCATATCTAGAGAGAAGTAGCAATATAAAAAAATCTTTACTTTACTAAATACAATGTTGTGAGACTGACTGTGTATGAGGTAATAAGGACGATGGTGAGCGATTCAGATGAATAAGTTTAGAGGTTGACGACTATGGGTTTTTCAGGGATCTATTTTTAATACTTTACAATGAATACTGTCTTTGATTAAATTATATGAATATTATATTATATTGTTATATTATTTACAACAGCTATAAAACTGCAATGGTTACAAATTATATCAAAGTTATTATATCAAAATGTGTTATGGATATGGGTGTAATAAAAAGACGATTGATTCATTATATTGCACTAATTATTTTAGTTGCTGTGCTTGTAAAACAACTCTTATAGAACCCTGATATAGAAGATGTAATATAAACACTAAAACACTTAGTTGGTTAGCAAATAATATATTCAGTCGCTTTTGATAACTTCTGCATTGTTTCTAATTTCCCTCTTTGCAAAAAAAATTCTTACAAAGAAATGGACATAAGCTGTAACAGAGACATTTGTAATTTCTCTTGACACCTATGTCACGGATCAACAGATGCGCAGATGGAGGATGAACTCAACTGCACGGTTTAATGATGTATGTGTCACCATAATGCTCTGTTTGTTTTAGTTTTGATGGACCTTCTGTTTGTTTTTGTTAGTCACATGTGTTCCTAGTTCTATTTGATCGTCTCTGTTCTGTTTTGCTTCGGTTTTAGTTGTTTAGTTTTTCATCATGGACTTCCCTGCAGTCAAGCTGCTCTACCTTGAGCAGGCTTGAGGAACATTTAATAGAATTTCTGGATCTTGTGCCTCAGACAACTTTCCCGGACGACTGCCTCTGTACATTTCTACGTGCGGGACTTAACATCAGCACCCGAGAGCAGTTGTCCGGGGAACCTCCTCGAGGGAGCTTCGTCGATTATGTGGAGTGGGCGCTGGTTTCCTGTGGATCCGCATTCACCATGGAGGACGTCACCAGCCCCACTCCAGACGCAGTGCCTAGCGAGAACCCTCCGGTCGGAACAAAGCAGTTTGAGCCCACCGCAGACTTCGAGCCCTTCTCCGCCGCGAGCCCACGCCACTGGCAGCACCACTTTCAACCCTTCAAGGTAATGATTCTTCATCTTCAGTCCCATTAGACCCACCCAGTCTCCCTCTCCCTTTGCATTGGACTAATTTTAGCCATCTTCCATCGTCCTCAGCCCTCAGCCATTCCCTTTACGTCATCATCTCTCACCAGTCCCTCCGAATCCACCACTCCTCTCAGTGGCGCGGATCTATCTCGGGCCAGCTGGGAGCCGTCTCCACCTAGGAAAGAGGAGCCCACAACTTCGCCTGCAGCCTCGGCAGACATCGCCCCTCCTCGATCCGGCTCCCAGACTCCTTCGCACACGCTGGACCATCGGCCATTCGGCCTCTTTGGGCTCCCTCGGTCAGTCGACTACATCAGACATTGCCACACCTGCGCTGCGGACTTGGGGGCCGTCTGCTGCACTTCAGCCCTCCATCCCTTCATCTGTGACCTCTAAGCCATCCCTCAGGCTCCCTCAGTGGAGGGAGGGAGGAGCCATGGTGGAGATTTGGCTGATGACACCAGGAAACTGAATAAGATAGAGCCGATGGAAGAGGAGACCAGCATGCAGACGGAGAGCTGATGAGACCGGGCGACACCAACTGTCCAGGAGTCCGAGGTGGAGCTAGGGTGCCAGAGGACTGAGATGGAGCCGGTGAGACTGAGGACCAAGGTGGAACTGGAGGAAAGGCGGAGCCCAACTGAGCTGAAGGGGTGGAGGGACAAAGCACAGCTGAAAAATTGAGCCCAGTGGAGCCATAAGGATGATGGTCCCATGTGGAGCTAAGTGTTCAGTTAAATAAAACACTTGTAAGGGATGATAGTGTTGATGATTTACCTTCGAGCGAGAGTGAGCCTGCAGTGTATTCGTGCATTGCGCGTAGAATCAGGGCACCAAATTTGGAAATCCACTGTCTCCTCAAAAGAGTCCGTTTGCAAGCAGCAGAAGGCCACCTTATGTGACACACGCACAGTAAACCTGTATTGTTCACTCAACTGCGCATAATAGCAGCGAATTAATAAAAAACACAATATTGACCCGCGTTCTGTTTTCTATCATGCGCCGTGCACGTTTGCGATGACGTAATATGCACGCAAACGCACCAGGGTTCGATAGAATCAAGTTGAGTGTGAAACCAGACCAACACTGCGGGGGGCGCCGGGAACAAACGCGCTCGGGCTCGGACCGCAGCAAACGAGCCCAGTGTAAAAGCCCCCTCAAACGCATGCGCAGGATACTTTACTTCCTGAACAATTGCGCACCCGAGTCTGTGTTGCTTTCACATTCACGCGAACCACGGCACAGTTCGGGAGCAACCAAACTCAGACCACCTCCTCCAGGTAGTCTCGGGTTCGGTACCCCAGTGCGCACCCCGCTCGCCGCTCCGCATGACAGCGTTCACATTAACGATTTTTCATGCGAACCGTGCCCCGTTCCGAACTAAACTGCCAGTGTGAAAGCCCCCTTAGAGCTGGGCGGAACCAGCGGGGACGGGAGAATCAGGGAAAAGTCCTCTTCCAAATCATCATTAAAATTTGCAGAGGAACAAGGAACAATCTCACACAACCATGTTAGGGCGCTTTCACACTTGGTTTGATTGCCTGTTCCGAACCCGAGTTCGATAGACAGCGTTCACATCATCCAAACGAGCCATACTCTGACGTCATTCAAACCCGGGTGCGCACCAAAAGTGCTAGTGTGAAAGCGCCTTAGGGTGTATTCACACCTGCCTTGTTTGGTTCGATTGAATCGAGCTCTAGTTCGTTTCCCCCCTTGGTGCGGACCTTTTGGGCAGGTGTGAATACAGCAATCGAACTCGGGTGCGGACCAAACAACCGAACCGAGACCCAGCTGAAGAGGTGGTCTCGGTATCCAAACGAACTCTGGTACGGTTCGTTTACAGTGTGAACATGATCCGACCCAATTGAAAGAAAGCACTGCGCTGTGAACATAGCCCCTCTCTATGAATGAAAACTTTATACCTTATCCGTCTTCTGCGCAGTGCCACTGTCAGCATGCCATGGTAGGCGCACATGAGAGCATGTTCTCTCCGCCGGAACCGTCTTGCAGCACATCGTCGTCTTCTCAAAATCCGAATTACAACATCGTATAGATGACATTGTATCATATGATACTCATTAGTTTCTTCATATTGCGTTTGTACAGAATAACACAAAATTAGTAAAAGAACAAATATTGCAGTACGAAATATCTCCATGCTGAGCCTTTTTTGCACTTCCTGATTTCCCTACTTGAGAATACTTGTCCAATGAATGGACGACCTTAGCACACGTGTGGTTTTGTTTACAAATTTTGGTTCACTTGCAAAAAGAGCACGTACCAAAAAAAAAAAAAAAAAATATTTGGTCCGGACCAAAGCAAGCGAACTATCGGACTTTCCTAAGTCCGATAGTTCGGACTTATACCAGACAAGGGAACTAAAGAAACACAGGATTTCAATACATGAAGAGGGTAATCAAACTGAACAGAAACAGGTGTGTGGAAACTAATTAACAATCAAGGAAACTAGACTGGCAAAACAGGAACAGAACACAGTGAAACAAAACCAAAACTGAACATTCACATTACAATTTTAAAGTCTCATTGTTACACGTTACATGTTACATGTACTTACTACGGACAAATATGCATAATATTTTAAATATGCAACTAACCTTAAACCAAACTTTAATTGATATTACTCAGTATAAATGTATTATTACACTGTAACTAAAGAGTAAAATCTCCTGCACAGAGAAATAAGTTTTTGGGTGTTAAATCATGTACAAATTGTCACTGTAAAAAAAATACCTGTACTTACACTAAAGCTGTGTCTGAAATC